GCATTTGTGATAAAAAAAAATTGATTGATTGTCCCATTGTAACAGCATTAAATTTGAAATCATAGGCTTACTCCAATTGCAAGTGAGGTTTGATTCTTAAATTGACGATTATGTTTGGGATTTTAGAGATATGGTGGTTGGGCAACTGGCTGCTGTACAACGTGTCGCGGGTCCGATTCCTGCACGGAACAACTCTTTGTGTGATCTACAGATTGTTGTTCCGGGTCTGGGTGTCATATGTATATGAACTTGCATGTTTGTAAACGCACCCACGACACAGGAGAAAATGATAATGTGGAGACAATTTATAAAAAAAAATCTCAGTAGATGAGTAAATTCTCTCAAAAACTGTCTCCATCCACCATTTTAAACAATGACTCATAGGTTTCCAAAAACCTTGTCAATATTATGAAGACAATACATATTTCAGAATTAATTTAAATAACTGTATATTCACTACATCTAAAAGTCAATTCTTGACATAGTTTTTTAAAATTCTCTTTAGAAGGCGGCCTGCATTCGACGCTGGAATATTTACGTCTACCTACACTATATGGAGACCAAATCTACATTACAAGATGGTGATATTAAAGTTGTAACCAACACAGAACACTCATTTCAACATTCGTCTCATTTTTCAGGTCGAAATTTCCAGAAGAGAAGCGACATAATATGAACAAAAATTATGGCATACAGTACATGCTGTTGTACCATGCCGTACAACGTTGTCTCGTTGGCCGATTGGTCGCAAGTACGACTGCCAAGCAAGGGTCTCAGGTTCGATTCCCGGGTCGGGCAAAGTAGTACGGGGTTTTTAAAAAATCTCAGTGATAGCACGGAGTCTGGAATTGTGCCCGGTATATGGCAATAGGCTCACCTCCTATTACATGGGACTCATAACATAAATAGCGAAAAGTGGGTGTTACATTGTACACCTATGCCTACCCCTTCGCGGATAAAAAGGTGTGATATTATGTTATGTACAGTACAACGTTGTGAATCAAATTCAAGGGATGAATAGAGGGGTTTAAGATGATCTACAAGAACCTACAAGGACCTACAAGGTTATAAGATACCATAAAATTAAGCATCCTACATTAAAAAAACACTTAACCTTCAACCAATATTTATAAACTGCATTAACATTCATTGCAAAATCGATACGCATACAAATAGCTGGGAATCATATAAAGCCGGTATACACACGGTCATTAAGCGACTATCTGCAGCATTAACGCTAAGCGGTTTGTTCATTAGTGGACCCAGTACCTTGTGTACCTCGCCTTTAGATCGGTTTTTTCCATACAACTTTGTAATGATCCCGAATTGGAGTTTATTTTGATAGACGATCAGGCATTTTATTGGCATACACCACCTCTACTCTTTTTGCGGGTGTCATATAACTAAGGGACTATACACAGGCTGCTGCAGCTCTTAATCTAAACTCTATAAACTAAAGTCCAAGTCCAGTTATTACAAACCCTCTTATAATTACAATATATATCTGTCTCATGTCAGATGAGCAGTGGGCAAAATCCACTACTGAGTGGAGCCCACTCAACCACATTAGACGTCACGGTAGGCCCAGCTAGAGATGGCGGAATGAACTTGACGCCTATGAAAAAGAGTGGCCACAGAAAGCTATAAAGAAGAGACGAGTGGAAGGAGGGTAGGAATGCCTATGCCCTGCAGTGGGACAACCATGCCTAAAATAAAAAATAAAATATATTAGAGGTGCTCCATAGTCTAGCAGAGGATTGTAGGTAACAGGTTCTTCATGTTAAAATTTCGTGATTTTAGATATACTTTTTCAATCAAAAATGCTTTATCCGGTGTCCCAGGAAACATATTTAAACCATAAGTACATTTTCAAAATATCGTCATAATAAATTCTCTACTATATATCCTCCATCGCGTATCGGAAGCGAAAAGTATTATTGATTTATCTAATGTTGGCGCTAGTGTCCGGTTTGGGACTGGAAAGTTGAAGTTCTATTGTCTTTATGGACAAGTGTATGTTAAGTTAAGTTGGTAGATTTGTATTCTATATTCCGTGGTAGATACAGTTAGCTGGTAAAAGTATTGTATACACATGTTGAAACATGGTTCTGATGTAAGCCATAGTTTCAGTTTTTTATTAAATAAGCCGGTAAACGAGCTTACGGATCACCTGATGGTAAGCAATCGGCGTCGCCCATGCACACCCGGACGGAACACCAGAGGTGATACGAGTGTGTTACCGGTCTTTTGGGGATTAGGAATTTAAGGATTATTGAGGATTCTGGGATTGTCGAAATTGGGGAGGGGTTAATTGGGCCTTCTAAACACAACTCAAGCGTTGTTTCACATTGGTTTTCTGTGAGGCCGTGGGAATACCGGCCGAGCCAGCCCATTCGTGCCGAAGCATGTCTCTTCCACGCTGAAACACAGTTGCGCGTCAATATCTGTCAGTCAGTCACTTTGTAAAGGAAGAGTTTTATGACATTGGTACTTAACCTCATGCCTTTATCCTATCCGGCGGGTTACCAGCTTCAGCTTGAAGCAGGAATAGGAACGGGGTAGTTTTCAGTCTTACTGACTGAAAACTACCCCGTTCCTATTACCAGGCTCTTACGACTAGACTAGATTTAGAAAAAGGGTGCTGACACTCTCTCTCGCCTCATCCAAGGCAGGAGAAGTCATTGGTTGCTCCCCCACAAAAAAAGGTCTTTAGCTCATCATGGTATCCAAAAACTAAAGATCACCATCTACTACAATCTATCAGTTAAGGTTGCAGCCACTCCACCAATAAATGTGGCCTGTATCTTCTATAAAATACACTTGATATATTATTGTATTGTTTATATTTTATTATTTATATTATTATTATATATATTTATATGGGGAGGTCTCTCCTTCTCGGGGTTGACCCGGTGAAAATGGGCACCGCGTCCCGCGACCCGCGACCTGCAGGAAAAGCGATGCTAATAGCCTTTTTTTTTTTTTTTTGAGGGGGGAAAATCATCCAATGACTTCTCCCGCCCGGGTGAGGCGGGAGGGAGTGTCAGACTCTTACTGACTAAAAACCACCCCGTTCCTACTCCTGCACTTCTAGCCGGAGCCCCGGCAACCCGTTAAGTCTTCCGCGGCTCCGTATCGGCATCAGCCCTGTTAGGCCCCATCTGTGGTGGTCTGATGGCTCCTTGAGGCGCGCGCGGAACGCGACGCGCCGTACGCTCGGGCCTGGTTCTGGTCGGGCGGCGAGTCACCCGTGCTCGCCGTCCGCAGGCCCGTGCTTACGGTGGCCGGAGATCGTCTCGCGATCCCCGACGCCCGGAGTGTCTCTCGCGACGGCCGGGTCGTGAGGAGGTTCGTTCCCTCACGCGCTCCGCCTCCTCCTTAGCTAGCATGACTGCTTCGCAGAAGGAGGAGACGGCATCCCAGT